GGAGAACGGGAACTGCACAGTATAGCGGTGGGACGGGCCCGGCACAAACACGCGCCTCCTCCTGGAAAAACTGGCGATATCACAAGATTTCCTTGGGCAGCTGGGCTTCCCTTTCGACACCTTGACCCCTCGATCGATCGGATTCTGCAGGAGGCAGTCAAAACCTCTCCGGCCAGCAAGTCGGCAGCGCAACTCGATTCCTTTGGTTTGTGCGTTGGAGGTTTGTCAATGGAGTTCTGTCCGCATATAGAGTTCAGGCTCGTGAACACATGGCGCCCCCGATGCAATTGGGTTTCGCTGAACAGCAATGGGAACAGGACTCTGACACAACAGCAGTGTGGGCAAAAGGAGTTTTAATTTTCAGTCTACAACTCCACAATGCTAGAAAGTCATACCTTGAATCCCTCTTCCGACTACAGCTGCAAACGCGCTTACTCAGGTACAGCTACGCAGTGGCGGGCCGGGAACATGCAAAGGAGGACTTACGTTTCGAAGGATTCATGGGATCAAGGCATTCGGGCTGCNNGCAAGGGTTGCAGCCTTCGGTATATCTGAGGTCCTTTGGTGCCCCACTTGCGCCGAAGCCGTCATTGTGTCCTTGCCTGGCTTTGCCGAGCTTCGGAGTTCAATCTGAAATTCCAGCCCACCAAATCCGGAACCCCACCCCGACGCAGACTCACAGGCGGACTGTCCGAATGCTGCGTGGCTAATCTTCAAAGTCCTGCGTGCTCCTGTGGCCAGGAGCTGGGCGCGTGCTCGCCTCGAAGCGCTGATATGTCAAGGGAGTACTTAGAGGGTCTTTGTAGAGCTTACCTTGTAAAAAGATTCGAGCTTCGGCCCCTCTGTGCTCGAACTCGAACTTGGCAAGTATGGAGTTGTTGTAACCGCAGCTGTACTTTGCACGCATTTCGCCACAATTCCCGATCGTCCCAGTAGGTGCGCGACATGTATGATGATGTTTTGATCGGTTTCGGCGACGTTGACCACGGCCTAAGGGGATCTGAGTTTATTTGCGGTTGTGCCCAGTTCTGTCTTTGGCTTGATCATTTTCAACCGACTATTCCCCTTCGGCCGTGGTCACGGGCCAGATGCCGCCGTCGACTTTTCCAGTCGTCAAACTCAGGTGCATGCTTTGCTTGGAGCCTTTGCCCAACGATCCGCGCGAGGTCACCTACCGCATTGCTGAGTTTCCCAAACAAGAGTCTAGAGCTGGTATAGACATGGTCCGTCTCGTCATCATCATCGACCTATCGCGAGCTGGCAGCGCTTGTGACAACAAGCCCCAGAAAGCCTTTGATGCCTGAAGAAGCATGTGGTGTGACATGAATGATGCTGTTTCATGCTCCAGATTTTTTGGAGGGGCCTCGGCAGCCCAGGTTTCATACTGCTCGTGACAAGCTGCTCGATTATGAGAACGGAGATATTCCTCTTTACAGTCTCGCGACGACAGGTCATCAACTTATGTGCAAGCGAGTCCGAGGCTCAGTTCTGTGAAGCAGAGTGTGCAGAGGTTTGAGAAAGGTTTTGCCGGGCTTGGTCCTGAACTCTCAAGCTTCACCTTCCCTGCAGTAAGCACAGCACCAGTATACCTAACTAACGGCCCTAAAGTCCGGCGTAGACTGCTCACAGCCGCCCAAGCTGCACACCGAGACCGAGATGTCTTTGCCTGCTACACCGCTCCTGCTTCTTGCTGCTTGGCCAGCACACGGGTTACTTAGATAGCCAATGCGAGGCATGGGAGGACTTTGCATGTTTTGGCTTGATATAGTTGGTCTACCTTACAGAGTTTGAATTGTTGGGCCCGGTTGTTGAAGAGTTGAAGAAGAGAGAAGGGAGTCTTTCAGCCGGCATGAATAGCAGGACCCTCGAATCTGTGAAGGGTCTCCGGAAACCAAGATTCTGATATCAAACCAGGACTCTTTTGAACACCCCGGCCCTCCAGCAGTTCGCCTGCAAGGAAGTTTCCTTTCCTGACCTTCCAGAGCTTACGGTCCCCCTTACAGCAGTCAGTGAAACCGACACAAGTCAACGCCAAAGTGCGGGATGCAGAGCAGGTGATAAATGGACAGGGGCAGAGGTCAGCCTCAGCCAAACATAACAGCCTGATGCTTGCTTGGCACAACCTGACCAAATTGCCAAATCTGTGGAGGAACCCGCAGTACGAGATGTCGGACAACTTCAGGCCAGCATGTCTTGAAAGGACTGCAAACGGCCTTGCGTGGCGCACGAGGCGCTTTAAGGCAGTGCTTATTTCCTGTTCTTTTGCTGTTGCTTCCGAACCTGACATCCTTACAGCCGGTGACACGCCCAACATGGTCGTGCAAGCGGTTCTGCGAAAGCTTCGTTCATTGGAAGTCTCACGGTCTTACCAGTACCGTCTCGCCAGTCGGGAATCTGGCCCAGCCATGTCTATTATGTTACAATCGGTAGTCTCAGAAAGCCCTGATGCCAAGCAAGCCCCCGCCAGGCGCTGCATGATCTGCAAGAAGCCTGCAGGCCGTGAGCGCGGGCGAATGGCATTCCGAAAATCTCCCCTGGCTCCCTCCGGTTCAGAATCGGTGAGACACGTGAGCCACACGGACATGCGCAAAGTGGTGGTTGGAGCAGAGCTGTTCTCGAATATGCACCTGTAGATCTTGCTCGCGTACTCTTGCTGCTAGTCACTGTGCTCCCATCGGCTTGCTCGCTCTCTCTCTCCCGTGTTGCAGCCTGGAACCTAGCTCTTTGTTTGATACCTGCTTTTGGATAGACAGACTTTGTTTGGACCAAAGGCAGCAGCAAAAGCAGCATCACAGGCCGATGTCCCAAGAAGCACGGATGTCTTCAAACCCGTTACTTCATGCAATGAGTTGTCCGATGAAAGAGTCGGCAAGAACAGTGCGAGCCTCCCTTTGCTGTCCACACATCGCCTTGTCATTTGAGACCCCGTGGCCTTGCAGATCCGGCGATGGTGCGCTTGGCTGTACAAGCCAGAAAGTACCCACCCCAGCGAGCGCGAAGATTTTGTTGGGTTCAGTTTTTTTTGTAAGACACCCCACGGCCTTCAGTCACGGGTCCCTCACTCCACAGCTAGGATTACGCCGCAGTCTGGCCTCCACGGCCTACTAGGGAATTTAGCATTGTCCAGTTGCAGGGCTCGGTGCACCTGATTGGAAGGAAGTCTCGTGGTAGGATCGCTTACAGTGCCACTGCACGCGACGCATGCCGAAACCCATTGTGAGTCGTCGACAAAGCATGACAAAGCCAGATGAAAGTATAATTACTCCAAGGCCAACAAGCTACTCGACAAACACCGAAGGTGTCAGGGATTCCTGTATGCGCATTGGATCCCGTGTCAGGAAGCCGCTCGGCTCCCGGTAACGCTGCCAAAAAACTCTGAGAGAGTTGGCTCTGTGTCGACGTTGCGGATCCAGTGACGGGCGTGCCAACCTTAAGGATAGTAATTTGCAGACAAAGACAAAGGTTTTCGGTCCTGTGATAGTGCTTCCGGCACAGGGGAGACACGGGGCCGCCAGTTTCACAAATGTATGTAGGGTCTCGGTGTGCAGGCCCCTCTTTGGTTCCAAGCAGTCATCAATGAACCGAGTCCCACGAAAGACTGCCGATAAGAGCCGTTGCGGCTGGTTTCCAACATACGGAGAAGGTTTTCCTGGCGCCTTGCAATGCCATATTGAAGACGATCATACTTCAGCCGCGGTTGACCACTCAGCAGGTTGGAGGTAAAGGCAAAAGAGCCATGAAGCTCTTCGCATTGAGTATTGGCCCTCCACGTGGGTATATCATCAAGTGTTTGTATACTCGGTAGAGTAACTAACAACTCAGAGTCAAAGTAGGGTGCTTATTTACATTTCCACCAGACCCCAGCATGTAGAGGTGCGGTGTAGGTGCGGTAGATGTGTTTGCTTTCCCTGGAGGTTTGCGGTAGGGGGTTCGCAGTGGCACGAAGGTGGGCCTGGACGTTGAGCTGAACAGACTCTGGAGAAATAAGGCATCAAAAAAAAAGCTGCTCGCTTCCTGGATTCTTTGTGCTTGCTTGCGGTTAGCAAGAAGTCGCGGCTCAAATGCGTGAGCAAATATGCTTCAGATTTCGCTCCATCCTATTCTCGGCTGCAAGCTGAGGCTGCGAACGTCTATGCCCGTCAGGTGTGATCGGAACTTGAGAGCCCAAAGAACACCCACACACATCTGACACGGAATTTCCATCCCAGTGATTTTGATTGGGGGAGCTTCTTGCTTTTGGGCGAAGGTCAGTGTTGTAGAGTTCCGTGCAACCGACCTTCGAAGGCGTGCCGTGGCCCAGGCGGGTTTCAAAGCGTGCTAGGGATGTGCTTGTCTGCTTCACGAAGGCGCATGCATAGTCGAGCTTATGCCTATGCTTACCTACAGGCATGAGGCTGTAGGTGTTTAGGAAGGTACAGTTACCGACACCTCTGTTCTTGGATGGGAGAGAAACAACGCGAGACAGCTGTTCAGAGAGGGTGTTCAATGCCACGCTACGGTGCAAAGGTGCACAAGGTGCAGACTGCAGAGGCTGCTTCAACCAAGGCCACCATTTGATACAGAATCCTGCCAACATGATCAGCCAACAGCCCCAGCACCGGTGAACCAGGACGAAGCTTTCTCAGAGACTTGGAAGCACTGTGGCAGGGTGGCTTGTTCAGACCTGCTGATGTATCTGATTCATTGCAGGCCAGGACTCGAGGCCTTTGCGGAACGTGCGGCATCTAAGGGTCAGCATTTATGGGGGCGAGACGATCAAGGAGTCACTTTGTTTGCGACGGTCTCCTGTTCTCGTGGTTACTTCTACCTTTGCGGTCGCTGCATGTGCGTAGTTTGCTTGAGTTCATGATATTTAATATCTCCCTACGCATGTACTTATCCTTGTCTTCAACATTCTGGACAGAACCATGCAGCTCTGTGCTTGGCTGCATGCAACCGGAATATGACTGACTCAGGCAGCTTTTCAGCCCCTATCTTACTTAGTCCCTGCCGGCGGCACCATGGCTTCCGTGGGCCTGGCCACACGCGCCATGCGTGGCACGCGGCACTTCCAGCGCCGCGTGTGGCATCAACATCGGGGCCTGACACAAAAAACTCTGGACATTGTCAAGGACACGTTGCCCCTCGTGGCAGAAGCTGGGACAGGATTTACCAGCCACTTCTACCAGCGCATGTTTGCAGCACACCCCGAGCTGTTGAACACCTTCAACCTTGCCAATCAGAGCCAGGCGCGCGCTGTTTTGCCAAGCCTGACACGGGGACCCCAAGACAAGAGCATGCTGCTCAAGCCATTAAAGACCGAACGTTAGCTTCGCAAAATGATCTTGCAACCCAAGTGAGCCAACCCAGGGGAGGCAGCAGAAGGCGCTCTTCTCTGCAGTTGCTGCTTTGATGCATGTTTGGCAAGCTTGTTCGGCAGTGCCACGTGCGAATATATAAGTTCACCGAAGTGACGCCACTTTCATTCACTTGACAGCACGAGCAAGGCAGCATCTGCCGTATCAGTGCTGGAGAATGGTACACTACCTGTGGAGCTCATGGAGGGCGTCAACCAGAAGCACTGTGCTCTAAATGTCACTGAAGCGCCTGGGATGTTCGAGGATACCTTGTTACCAGGGTCTGATGAGAGCCGGTTTCATATTGCAGTGCATTGCACAATTCAGAGGCCTTTCGAGTGCTGTCACGTGCTTGGCTTGCGCATGTTCAGCACTAGGTAGTGCATGAATCATGGTTTCTATGCATGTTGAGCCGTGCCGAACATGTGCACGACAACACGTCGCCTTAGCATGGCAGAACATGCATCAGGTTGTGCTACATCACTTCCCATCCGAGTGAAGTCGCAGTGCAGCATGAGCAAAGTGCTGTTGACTGATACTGATTGCATCGCAGGGCACTGGGTTGCATCATATCAAGTCCAAGTGTACCTTCTTGCCAGGTGTCTTGTGGCAGGGTTGTTGTGTGTGAGAGTAGGATGAAGCCGTCGCATTCTGCCAGTTCTCATTGTATGTTGTGATGGCGTGTCAGCTGACATAGCGCAGCACATGCAGCTATCATGATTAGAATTTGGTACCACATAGTGTCGTCTCATATCGTACCGCAATGTGACCGCAGGTTTCAATGCTCAATACCACCATGTGGCATGGTATGTCAGTCTCGTTGTACTGTTAATGCTACCTGGCCCGATTCTTTGCCATTCTGTTCCAAGCTGTTCTGTGCTATTGCGTTTGACAACCAACTGTTCTCTTCCGCCGAACCGTCTTCTGTGCAGCCTATGCTCTTCAAGTCTACTGTGTTATAATTGTTCAGCTCTCTTGGATTGCATTGTGTTGTAGATTCTCGCAGCAGCCAAGGCACAGTACAACGTTGTCGGAGAGCACATCCTTGGCACAATCACCGATAAGTTCAACCCCGGTCAGGAGGTTCTGGATGCTTGGGCCGAGCTGTACGGGGCCTTGGCTGGATACTGCAACAAGCGGGAGGAGGAACTCTACAAGGAAGCAGAATCCAAGCCAGGGGGCTGGCGTGGGATGCGCAAGTTTACTCTCGCAGAGAAGACCACGCGAAGCAGCGTCATCACCGAGTTCACATTCCGGCCGGTGGATGGCAAGCCCATTTCATCGTACAGCCCAGGACAGTACACCACCATTTGGACTTACCCCAAGGGTACTGACAAGCGGCAGCCGCGACACTACAGCCTCATCTCTGAGACTGGCAGTGACCATTACACCATCGCAGTGAAGAAGGAGAGCCAGGGCCTGGTATCTTCTTTCCTGCACGACCGCACTGCAGTGGGCGATGAGTTCGACCTCTCGCCGCCGTTCGGCAACTTCAGCGTTGCTGGGGCGCAGGCTCTGTGGACCAAGGATGCGGATGCACCGGTGGTGCTCCTAAGCGCAGGCGCGAGTGCTGTGAATCAGTGTTAGTCAAGCCCGTAAAGGATGTCATGACCCTCTCGGTCCAGGAGTTGGCATCACCCCCATGCTCAGCATGCTGGGCACCTTGAAGAATGGTGCCCAGGCATCCGAGCGCCCTGTGCTGTGGCTGCATGCAGCGGAGAACGGCCGGCAGCATGCCTTCCGCGACTACATAGTTGGCCTTGCACGGGCCCATCCGGATGATCTCACCCGCCGTGTCTGGTACAACAACCCCAATTCTGACGACGTCATGGGTTCTGACAACAAGGCGCCGGAACCTCCCTGCACTCCGCAATTGCTGGCCTGCCTCAGGGTTTCCCACCACATGTGACATGTTTGCTTGCGGTTTCATGTTCAAACTCCAGGCACCCTTTCACTTCAATGGCATGATGGACCTGACCCAGGTAAAGGACATGCCGGACATGCAATTTGTGTTCAGGGCTGGTACTGCACCCTCCTATGGACATGAGAACGGCGGCGCATTCTCATTGGGGTTGTGTGGAGTGTACAGAGGATTATGGCAAAAGACAGGGTTTGGTGTGTCAAGCCAGGGAGTTGTTGAGCCTCGAAGGATATGCTGCCGCTAGAGAAAGAGAATGCTCTGTACTACTTCTGCGACTGGGCCTTTCTTATTGGGGGTGTTGTATGGGTTTCATCTTCTGCTCAGGTATCTGTTTGGAGAGTGGGGCAGATTGAGGTGAGTTAGTGACATTTATTGGTGGCCTAAGTATTGGCTTAGAAGGCCAACGAGCCGAGCAGCTGGACTTCGGACTCTGAGGAAGCGCAGGTGTGGAGGCCGGGTTTGATGGTTGCTTTTGGGAGATGAGGTGGCCCCATCCCGTGGATGAAGTCCATCGCCCAGCAGCTGACACAGATGGGGGTGCAGAGGCGAGGCCGGTGAGCCCGGAGAGCTCGGTGAGCTCGGTTGCATCGCGCGCAGGTCAGCTCTCAACTTTGAGGTGTTTGGCCCCAACGAGGACATCCTGGGCTGAGGCGAGGCTTAAGCGCCCCGAGTTTGCAGAGTCCACTTTCGGGTCTTCAGGCTGGACAACGGCCGTTGCTTGGCGACCGCCTCGTTTCCTGTCTGCAGTGCATCTCTCGGCGCATGAACGCCGGATTGCCCCCAAACCTAGCAGCTGCTGACCACATGGGAGTTTGTGTAGCGCAGAGGATTTTGAGGCGTTGCGAGCAGCCTTGCGCGTTGGTGCAAACCATTGATTGCAGGCCGTTTAGGAGACTCAGGGTGCCATGAAGAGCACTCTGGTGTCCATAGCATGTATAGCCGGGACAGCCCAGCGAGGTACGTCCTGCACCAACTTTTTGGTCAGAGAGCGGACAGAAAAGATGGACCCCAATCATGGGCACTTTGGGAGAGCTGAAGAAGTGGAGCCTTGAGAGGAGACCACCAGGCTGCGCCGATTGACATCGTGTGTGCGACTCCTGGCGGCAGACTTGGGACTCTCCTCTGCAGCAGTGTGTGGACGATCGAGGATCTTGATAGATTCCGGCTGGAATATGATGGGTCCTGCTAAAGCTACACCACTGCAAGCGGGTTGCTGTTCACGCCCAGCAGGTCTGCCTTGAAGCTCTGCCCACCATTGTTTCGCACTTTTCCAGCGCTGCAGAGCTGCTCAGCCGAGCAACTTCTTTCAGGACTTGCAGCCTCTTGTCTTCGGTTGGCTGTCAGGTGCGGATTGCTTGTACTGTCCAGCTTGGCCGTATGCTGCCGCTCCCTACGGTCCTTCTCTGTTCATCCAGATAAGACAGCTCCATAGAAAGGTTAGTGCTCATGTGCAATCGTGATAGGACTGGCAACGCACCTTTGAATTTGTGATTTAGGGTTTAAGTGTTTGCGGCGTTTGAGTATTTCGGGCTTTTTACTGTAGGGTTTAGAGGCTTATCAGGGTTTCAGGGTCCAAAATTGCATTCCCAGCTGCGTGCGAGAGTGAGAGTCGAAACAAAGGGCAAAAGGTTGCAAAAGGACCTAGGCTTCGCGTGGCGAGGGTGCTGTGGAATTATTGCGTGGTATCCTTGTTGTTTTGTTAAGTTTGTTACGTTCAAGTGTCGGGAGGGAATTATTGGTTCAATAGCGATATATAGCGATGTTGTTGATGGTTTGTTTCTGCCTGGCTTGTTGGTGAAGTTGGTATGTTGGGGCCTGCCGGGGGCGGGGTGGTCGGGATGTTCGGCGGGTGGTCTTCCGTGCACCGGTGTTGTTGGCAAAGAGGTGGCGCCAGACACTTTCAGTTAGCTACCCG